AAACTATAAAATTTTTTTAACAACAAACTATTTAGAATTTAAAACAAATCAGATATTAATTAGCACGTACTTTACGTTCCAAGCTTAAGTATGAATTGATTATTTGGCAACCTCACCTTAGCAATAATAATAATACGACAAACTATTTAGAATTTAAAACAAATCAGATATTAATTAGCATGTACTTTACGTTCCAAGCTTGAGTATGGATTGATTATTTGGCACCTTCACCTTAGCTATAATACGATAGAGAAAATTTAACAAAACTTTCAGAAATATCTATATTTAAAACACAAAACATATCAGTAAAGCAGCTTTTTGAGCACAATTCGATACTGAATGAATTTAACATGTCATCTCTCGCCCCCATTAGTAAATAAAAACGGTTAGAGTTTTGATTCAACTCATGCCTTAGTCGAGTCTAAACATAGTCGCCAAAATATTTATTTACCAGAGAATAGATTTGTTTTTGGAAACCTTATGTAGATTAGTTCTATCATCTTTGCAAAATGCAATCTCAAAATTCTGGATTTTTCACGATATCGATTTTCCAGTCCCGCAACAGCACATGCAATGGGCAGTTGTAATAAGATGTGGAATAACCAAGGGGCGGCATGTGAGATCATTTGTTAATCATAATCGTGCTCGGCTTACTTTGTCAGAAAACACGGGTCGCTCCTTTATATCCGCGAAAGAACGCGTGCCGATTTCTTTATTGATAAATTGCAGCCGTGTCGACCGGGGTAATCATTGTCAAGAACAGTTCTTAGCAGAAATACATATCACAGTTACTAACGACAAGGAAACTGTTTAAAACTCCAATCATAAGGTATCCGTATGTTAATCAGTGTAAATCTTAGTACGGAACCTATACAAGTGTAAACAAAATTTTTACTTATTATTAAAATATCTTATAGCTTGTTGTGCATACGTCTAATGATCATTTTTTACCGCCAAATATCAATTTTTAATTTTTAGCCTTGCATTCAAAAATTTAATAAATTCTTCATTCCGTTATTAAAAGAAAAATGTTTTTTGATTCAGATAGGATTCTCTGTGCGCCCAAAAACTTAATTTTATTTCTCGCACTCTTTGCTCCGTATCTCCAATATGGTTGGACCGATCTTTACCAAAAACTAACCAGCACCCATCAATAGGAATCAAATGTTTTTGAACCATTCAAATCGATTGATCCGTATGCTCGAAATCATCGACGAAAAAATGTATCCCCACATACGCTCATCTATTTTTTCTACGGTATGCCAAAATGTTCAGAAACATTTTAAACTTGAAGATATGTAAAAATTTTCATTTTCGATTTACGCACTTCCTTTTTTCTACGTTACGCCAAAATGATCAGAATCATCCAAAACGTAAAAATATACAAAATTCTCATTTTTCTCCAGATTTTTGAAGGGTTACTAATAAATCACATAGTAAATAATTTTCCAAAACTTATGTCGTTAATTATATAACAGAAGTTAGTTGTTATCAAACGATTCTTATGAGTCAGGGATATTGGATCTTATCATTCCCTATCAGTACGACTGAACAAATGCTGATAGAAATGAAGGTTGTTTTAAGTGTGCATCATGTATATAAATACAAGCAGATACTACATTATTTTACTTAAATGTTAATAAAATGATTAATGAATAATTTACAGAACCGAACAAAGTATACAAAGTGCTAAAGCATATAGCCACATATAATATATTAATATTGATAATTATTTTATTTTATTCGACGATTTCACGTTGTTATGAGTAAAACCTTCGACAGGGCGAAAAAAATATTTCGTGTATATTTAAATGCCAATGAAATAATATATTGCACATATAGAAACATTACGAAAACCTTAAGGCCCTTAAGGTTCAAATATATGCACTGAATATTGAAGACAAACATTGATTCTCTAAAAATTAATATGATTGTAAATAATGTTTTATCACATCAATCTTTACTATATACGCCTAGTATCAATCAATGAAGAGAAAAATCGCATATGAGACAAATAATGTTACTATGTTAGAAGAGATGATATTTAGATCATAACAGACATAATAATAGAATTAAATAAAACACTAATAATGAATGATTAGACAAAATAAATACTGCCAATCAGGAGGTTATGATAGGAATATAAATAAGTTATTTATATTAGCGCAACGGACAGTCAGCCGTTGTGAATCCGTAACTTCAAAAGTTGCTAACATTTTTTGAAACATCATGGACTATATAAAAAAAGTAAAACAAACACATTTCTATGATACCTGACTCCTAGTTATCACTCCTTGGCTTAACAATTCAGCAAAAACTTGAGACTATCTCAAATAGTATATAACACATAAATCATAGATGCATGAATATATAATATATTAGTATATATATATCATATATATATTATATATAATATATATAAAAGCGAGAGGTTTTTCTATTCAGAGGTGAAATAATGATTAAATTGTTCTTGGGCATCCATCCAGTAATTAAAAAACAGTTTTATTGAAAAATGTTTTTATTTAATTTTTCAATAAAACTGTTTTTTAATTAATGGATGGATGCACAAGAAACAATTTGTATCATATATTTTATCATATATATATATATATATATATATAATAAATAATAATAATAAATTTATAACCGTCATACATGTGTAACATAACGTCTATAATATTGTTTTTCTAAAATACATCTAATATTTAATATGCAGGAAAAACGAAGAATGAAATTTAGATTTTTAATTGATGTGCGAAAAGTTAAACTATCAATGAATCAATTTAGTGCGAGATTTCAATTGGCATTTCACACTGCTTTGTCAAATTCAATTTTTAATAAAAAACATATTTTTATCTAAATTTTTACAACAAAAAAATACGCATTTTTGAATATTACAGAGGGGCATCGAAATAAGTACATTTTGGTCACAAAGTAGAACACTTAACCATGTAACCTAAATATAAAAGTACAGGGTAATAATATAAGTATATAACAAACTAAATATACCGTTAACAGTGAATAATTATACTTTATATTAAGTGTTGCCTACAGAAATAATTGCTACTAAAATCCGAGCCTATAAACAATAAATTTAAAATAAAATGTGCAACTAATCGACGAGCAGAATACCTACCTCCAACCATTGCCTAATTGCTCCGAGGGCGAATCTGGAAGATTTCCGCCCGAACCGCTAGAACAATATATTATTCTCAGGATTTATATCAATATATGCATGTCTAAAGAAACCAAAAAATACCCAAAAATATCAGGTTACCAAACATTTTATGCTGGAAAATTTCGGATGAATAAAATTATATGTGCTACCTTCGGTAAACGAATTAAGTATTCGAAAATCGTCGGTTCTCATTCATTGTACGTTTATTATCAAATGATAATAAATTTGTGTCAACAGAGCAATCACGCATAGAATTATATATTATATAAATTTAAACTTACCGTTTCTTCCCAGAAGACGAGGTAGCTACCGAAGGCTCTACTACTAATATGCTGCCCATATAACTTATGCCTGAAAAGGAGAGTGTAAATGTAACAACATCACAGAAAATAAACGAAAGTTAATTCGTTTAAATCACAGCATAATAAAAATACTAGCTTTAAATTTGCATCGGTTCTTACAGTAGATTATTCCTTCATTTAAACGTGCACGATTGCTGGAAACTAAATACATTTGTAGATTTATGAACATTGGTGTTAAAAAATATCACATGCCTGACATAAAACGGCCAAACACAATGACCTTCATAATCAACAGAGGCAATTTATATGCGACAGTACCGTGGTTCGTTGACTTGGTTAACATAAGGATAAAGGTGCTGGTAATAATTTTGTTCTAATACAATCATCTAGCGATAAAGCATAAAAAGTTCACATGAATTAAGTGAGAAAGTTGTGGAATTACAGTTTGAACTCAGGTATTACATTTCTTTATGTACATTGAAACAACTCACGATTTTAATCAAAAATAATTATGTATTAGTACTTTTCTATACACAAAAAAAATATATATACAGTGAATTGATGAAAACATGTCATAAGTAAGCATCAACCAGGATTATGTGTGTACAATTTCGGGCGTAACCGATTTGAATGATTCGAAAAAGCATTCAATTCCTATTGATAAGAAGGATTGCTGATAAGTTGATTAGGCCAAGGCAGGTTCAGCCGTTTCGAAGATACGAGGCAAAAAGTGCCAAGAATGGTAATTCAGTTTTCGAGAGAATTTAACTTGTATTGGTAAAATAAAGAACTGTTTAAATTTTTGGGAAGGCTGGTTTAGCGGTCTCGGGTATCAATTGAAAAAAATAAAAAAAAAAACATTTGGCGGTGAAACATCAAACGATCATTAGACATTTGCACAACAAATTGACAGATATTTTAACAATAAGTACAAATTTTTTTCACGTTTCTAGGGGTTCCTTGCCAATGTTTATTCGTTAGATTTAAAATTAGAATTTTTCAAGCCTTTTTTTCAAAAATTTTAAGATTCTCAAAGGTCAATTTTTCCAAATTTTCAAAAAATTTAAATTTCGAATTAAGCGTCACGATGCCATGCAACGCTAGTTTAAAATGTAAATCAAAGATCAAGATTAGCAAAACATAAGCATGATATTTCATATAATTAATGTAGGGAGTAAGATAAAATTTTAATGCATAAAGGCATTTTAGATTAAAACTATTTGTTTTCCATATATAAATGTTTGAATATATAACTGTTGTGAGCAATAACAATTTTGAGAAGACGTAGTATTGCGTTATACGCTATACAAGATAACATATCAAGGGTTAATAAATGAGCTCATTATCACAAATCAATTAATATTACAATGGCCTAATGTAATATGCACAAATACCAGAAAATTAGTATTAATAGATTGAAGTATAAATATATGTATATTATAAATAATCAGCATAATATTTATATTGAACACAAATATTTAGGCTTCTCTAGCTATGCGGTTGGTAAGCCTGGGGCCAACACACTTTTGGCAATACAAAAGAAATGACATTGTACATACGTCAAGAAATTCGTGCTAAACAAACAATTTACTTTATATCGAATATTTAACAGTTAACTAAAAATAGAAATTAGGTAACACATTGTACTGTGCTCATCTATTTTGAGATAATAATAAAAAGAAATTTTTATAAATTATTATTGAATTAGTTTACTATACGACAAGCAAACGTTGATGACATTTGTAATAGTTTGATTCGATTGGAAATGACAGAACATAACAATTGTAAACTATACTATTTCATATACATTAATTGTAGGTTTATTCAGCCACATGCACTTTCAAAAGTAGTAATTGTATACAAAAATTATGACAGCCCTCGTGCTTAATCAAACGTCGGCGCCATGTTTGAAAAACAATCTACTATCAAAAGATGTCACAAAATCTACAATTTTTACAATATTAACTCACCGTTCAATTTATCAATAGCTCTATCTGCAGAGGATTGATCTGGACAATCGACAAATGCATATCCTCCACGTTTGACCAACACTTCAGAACATGAAAGATTGTGATCCGAAAAGAGTTGTCGCAAAGCGGATTCGCCAGAGTCAATCGGGAGGTTACCGACATACAATTTGCTCATCGTCACATTTGCACTTTTCGATGGATTCATTATAACTTATATCTAATGACACTGCCTAAATTAACCGTCTATAACCCCTAAGGATTTCCTGGTTCACACACTCACTTCACTATACACACACTTGCGTGGCTACGTGCCGGCAATTCGTTATTCTGGATTGATAAATAGACGTGAGTCTGACGCGCACGCGACTCGCGCAAGACAAACATGGCGGTACGTCCGTCTCGCTCTCTCGCTGCTCCCCTCCCCTATGCTGCTGATGATTATGACAGGCTGGCACCCTGCTCCCTCCGCTGACGGCGCCTTGACATGAGCGACGCGCCCGATTTGTTTTCATTGGCTGCAACTCCCCTATTTATTTCAAACGTTAGGGATCAATTCGAATACTAAAATTATATAGATGCTTATCAAAATCATATTATTTGTATTAGCGACATATTTTAGTAAATCCCGTTAAACTATATCATTGATTTCAGTTCTAATTTAAACAATCCCTGAAAATGTGCTGAATTTTACTAAATTCAGCTGAAATTTGAAAGCAAATACAATATAGAACTAGTGGTACAAGGCATCGTACCTTAAGACCATTGTTAAAAAAGGTCTAAACTTTTTTGAAAACTGAAAATATTAGATTTTTGTATGTTTTTAAATTTCTAAAAATTTTGATTTCTTTTATATTTAAAAAATTTTGGAATTCTCTTCAAACTAATCACGCTGCGTAACTGTTTATAGATAAAATATCGAAGCGCATAAACGCTGCATCGCAGTCTAATGGATAACATAGGTACGAAACTCATAGAAATGTAAACAAAATTTGTACTCAATATTAAAAGTTTTATTAAATATCTAATTAGATGTAAGTATGTCCAGTGATCATTTTTAACCGCCAATTGGCTTTTTTTGTACTTTGTTGTATTGGATCTCCAAAACCGCCGTTAGACCTGCCTTTTCAAAAATCAGTATTTCACTTCGTCAAACAAATAAAATGTTTTTTGAATCATTCAAATTGAATCTTCCGTTCTCCCAAACTTCAATTGGAAAATTGTATCCACACATACATACACACACATCTAAGGTATGGCAAAATGTTCAGAAACCTCCGAAACGTAAATATATTCAAAAATTTTCCTTTTCGATTTTTAGACGATTACTATAACTTACCCTACGGAAATAAAAAATACAATTCGAACGTGAGAATATAATTATTGAATTAATTAATACCATTGTAAATAATTGTTATCTCAAAAACTAAATTCCTACATAGAATGTTTATATACTATTGATTATACATACGAAGTTTGTTCAAAATATTATGCATTGCATTGCAATTATTATCACAAAAACTAGATTCCTGCATGGAGTGTTTAAATGTTATTAATTATGCTATTAAATGTATTCACTAACTATACAATATATTCAATATCACTTATATAATTTGAAAAATAACTATTTAAAATTAATATTTGAAAATTCAGGATAGTTGGTAGTATTAACCCAATTATGTTAAATTATTATATTCATACTTAATTAATTCACAAAATATATTGCACTAAATATGCATGACAATAAGATTCACAATTAATATTGTTATTAGTAGTTGTAGCAATTTTGAAAAAAAAAACGAATTAAAATAAATATTCAAAAATACAAGATGGTATAATTACTGGTTTAGTATTAAAATTATTATTTTCAATAATTCTAATAATATTATTTTCAATTATGATATTCATACTTGTAAAATACATAGGTAGTTCATTCAAAATATATTGCACTAAATATATATAATGAGATTCAAAAATAATATTATTAGTAGTAGTTGTTAAACAATCAAATATTTAAAAATACAAAATGGTATAGTTGGTTTAGTATTAAAATTATTATTTTTTAAATTATGATACTTAAACGTATAAAATACATAGGAAATTTATTTAAAATATATTGCTATATATTTGCATGAGATTCAAAATCAATATTAACAATATTGAAAAAAAAAATCAATCAAAAAATATTATTATAATCAATTTCATAGCAAATTTAACCTTCCTTATTATACATCACAAGCAGTGGCGTCAGAAGCAAATTTTTGATGGGTGAGCTCGCTTTTTTTTTTATAGGCAGCCGGCAGGTTCGCTTTTTTTTTAATATTTCTCATATAATATTTCGAGATTGCAGCCCACACGGTTCCGACGCCACTGATCACAAATAATACTGATTAGAAGTTCAAATCTCTTATATAATAAATTATCAAAATAGTTATTGAAATCATAAAGAGATTCAAAATATTATACTTTACTTTATTATGACCTACATTAGAATATATCTAATTATCACATTTCTTCTGGTTGAAGAAGTTTCTTAAGAGAGCGAACGTTTGACCGAAATTTGAAGGCATTTTTAAGGAACTTTGTATCCAATTAGATAGTTTCTTATAATTAGTTGGTTGAGCATAGCGTTCGTCAACCAAAACAATAGCCGCGTAATCGTTTATGTGCCTAATGGCTCTGCCGATGCACTGATTGACGGCTTTGAAACACAAATTTTCATAATATATATCACCAGCTTTATTTTTGAAATGAGTATTTAAAAATGATATTTTTCTTTCAATTCTAAACTAGTCTTATTAGGATAAGGAACACCTACAACAATAACGCAACGACCTAAATCGTCGCTGAAGTTCAAACCCTCACTAATCTTACCGCCTACAACGCCCAACATTAAGGCACCGGTTATGTTGGATTTTTTATTTTTAGCCTGTTTAATACATTTGCTATAGTTTTGTAAAATACTATCTACTTCACCAGATTTTTTAGGTTCACGGAAAATTAATTTTCTTTTCACAATATTGTCTATTGTTTGATTTTTCTTAAAAGAATCGTATACTTGTTGCTCATACTCGTAAGACGGAAAAAAGCAAACAATTCCACCAGGAACCAAGCTGCATATATTTTGTATTATCATTGACAGATCTTGCATCTGGAAATGAAAACAAAAACTGGTTTGAAAATATAATTTCACCAGTAATCTTGAACAGTAAATATAATTTAATTTTTATTAACAACTATATTTATGAATAATGTAACTTTAAATTTTGTCGGCAAATATGTATAAAATAACAAAATTAATTATCATTGAAAAAGTAATGATTTTTCTTTAAATTTTCTATAAACTAGTTTAAATAGTTTTCTAATTTCTACAATTTTGAGGAAACAACAATTTTATTGACACAGATTTATAGTATTTTTTAAAGCACGCGCCACATAAACTTAAAAACATATTTATTTGTATTATTTATAAAACAGTCAGACCATAAAATACATATGTTTAAAATTATATTAATTCATTTATGATTTATGATATTGAAATTACAGGATTTTTTTTTTAAATAATGATATGCAAACACTCGTCGAATTCTTCTAAATAATTAATTAATTTCATTACAAATGGTGAAGAAAAACACTGTATGATTTGCTTTATTTATGATTTTCAAAACAAAATCCGAAAAGAAAAATTATTAACATACTTAGTGTCACAGTACAATGTGCAAGCCAAAATTTTTCATTATGAACTAACAATTATGAGCAATATGCACTATTACTAACAATTTTTAATACGGCTATATTTCGCATGAAAATGTTGATAAAACAGTACAAGAGTAAATATTTTTCTCATTATTTTAAATCGTAATTACTGAACAATAATTATATAGTTCAGTAGTTCAAATTAAAAAAAATATAATAAAAAGCTATTCCAAAAACTTTTATGTAGTATAATTATATTGTGATATAACAAAATGCAACTATATTGTGTGAATTTTGCAATTGACTGAATACATTATAAAAAAATTATGTTTAAATAAATGTAATTTCGCCATATTTTAGTCTTTAGTTTAGTGTGTCGAGAAATTTGTTTGATTTTGAAACATATTTCAACGAATTTGACAAAGAAAATATCATAATTATCAAAAATATTCAATATATATGTCTTGATGCTAAACTTGTATCATCATGCAGCAAGCATCTTGTTTAAATGAGGTAAAAACAAACAAAAATAAAATAATAAACAATGCCATGGCTTCAATTCTGAATTAGATTGAATATTAATTATTCTAATATTCTTTTATACAAGATATCAATCATAATAAACAAAAATTGCTTTTAATACACTTATCATTATCACCAGACATAAACTTTTGAACAAATTCAACAGGTGGTTTGTGCCGGTCTACTTGGTAAATAATTATAATCTGAACATGGTGCTGAATGACACATATTTTAATCTTTCATTTGATCTCACACACATTCATACTCACTGTACAAATATTTTTATATTTATAAGTATGACTCAACAAAATGACAAAAAATATTAAAATAAAATAACATTTCAGCATTTTACTCACCAATTCCGCACTACATCTATTTGAATAATTAAATAGGAGATCTTTTCCAGATGGCCCTTTTGTCATTATAATTGGACAAAGACTTTCTTCTGGCACAACATGACCACAAGAAAATATATTCACCCGAGTTATTTCTTCTGTTCCAAATAATTGCAAGCTAAAATCATCAAATGGTTGCATAGTTCCTCCAGCAACAATCACCTAAAAGATAAATTACACCAATAAAAATAAAATCAATTAAAAATATTATATACAATTAAACTTACCGATCTTGCTTTTTTTACAAGATCTTGAAAATGTATTCTTGGATTCAGAACTAAATATTTTATAAAACATCTTGAAGGATCACTAACTTTGGATACTAAAACTTTTCCATCTTCATATTTCTCTGTCAAAGAAGTTAAAAACGCTTGCAATGCATATAGGCAACTCACTGGTGATAAAGTAGAGTCTTTTGACTTATCCGATGGAATGTTTTCTTTCTCCACAATATCTGTTGACTTTTTTGATTTATTATCTTGAATTTGCTTTAAAAGTGCTTTGACACCTGTTGTTAATTTCTTATCTACTATTTTATCTAAATTATTTATTTCATCTGAATAGTGTCGAGCATATCCTAAAAGGAAAAAACTGCTATAAAACTGGAAGGAACATTATCTTAAAATTGAAATGTCATAATATGTATATATATATATATATATATATATATATATATATAACCTAAGTCTGTTTTTACAC